TTTATTGCTTTCGGATCGAAAGTTTAAATTATTCTGTAGATGCCTTTACTCTAATGTTATATTTATGAATAATCCTTCCTTTATCGTTCGCTACTCTCTTACCGTTGTCTTCATTTACAATATGTTTCGCGTACTTCCTTAATCAATCACGTCTCCTTTATCATAAAACAAATGCTGTCGATTGCGATTATGATGTCGCAAGACTCTTCCATGGTTTCATTGTAGTCGTTCTTGGATGTCGGGATACTCCCTTTGATTGAAAAAGACGTGCTAGGGTTTCTCTCTGGAAACGAAATGACAGGTAATGTTTTACTGCCGAACATCTTCAAAAATTTGATCTTCCGGCGCTGAATTATTCTGATCAGCCAAAACTTTCGCAAGTTCAATAATTGTACTGTGTACACTCAGGTTGTCCATTTGTAGTAGAATGGAACTCTGGCATTTTGGTATGCGTTATTTTTAATCGCTTGTAAATTTGTTGTGCACAGATGCTGGTAAATTATAAGTCGTTATCTTCTACAACTTCAAAGCTATGACTGTCAACACTGACGTGAGTGCCAAGTCGCGAGTGCGACGAATGTTTGTTTGATGACAGAAGATATTTCGTCTTGTCCTCGTTCACTGCCAGACCCATTTGTGTTGCTTCCTTGCCCAGTCTGGAGAAAGCAGAACTAACGGCGCGGGTGTTGAGTCCGATGATATCAATATCATCGGCATACGCCAGCAGCTGTACACTCTTATAGAAGATGAAGCCTTCTCTATTTAGTTCTGCAGCTCGAACTATTTTCTCCAAAAGCAGGTTGAAAAAAGTCGCACGATGAGGAATCGCCTTGTCTGAAACCTCGTTTGGTATCGAACGGCTCGGAGAGGTCCTTCACGATTCTGACGVAGCTTTTGGTGYTGSTSAACGTCAGCTTACACMGCCGTATAAGTTTTGCAGGGATACCAAATTCAGACATCGCGGCATAAAGGCAGCTMCTTTTCGTGYTGTCAAAAGCAGCTTTGAAATCGACGAAGAGGTGGTGAGTGYCGATTCTCTCTTCACGGGTCCTTTTTAAGATTTGGCGCATGGTGAATATCTGGTCGGTTGTTGATTTTCCAGGTCTGAAGCCACACTGATAAGGTCCAATCAGTTTGTTGACGGTGGGCTTTAATCACACAATACGCTCGATAGAACCTTATATGCGATATTGGGGAGGCTTATCCCACGGTAGTTGGCGCAGATTGTGGGGTCTCCTTTTTTGGAGGATTGGGCATATCACACTTAAGTTCCAATCTTTGGGCATGTTTTCGTCCGACCATATTTTACAAAGGAGGTGATACATGCTCCTTATCAGTTCTTCGCAGCCGTGTTTGAATAGCTCAGCCGGCAATCCATCGGTTCCCGCCGCTTTGTTATTCTTCAGGCGGGTAATTGCTATTCGAACTTCTTCCTGGTCGGGCAATGGAACGTCTGCTCTATCGTCGTCGATTGAGGCATCGGGTTCGCCTTCTCCTGGCGTTGCGCGTTCACTGCCATYCAGCAGGCTGGAGAAGTGTTCCCTCCATAATTTAATTATGCTCTGGGCATCGGTGACTAGATCACCTTTGGGGGTTCTACAAGAGTATGCTCCTTCTGTAAGCCGCCGTATTTTTTCGTAGAATTTTCGAGCATTACCCCTATCGGACAGCATATCAAGCTCTTCGTACTCACGCATTTCGGCCTCTTTATTTTTCTGTCTGCAAATKCGTCTCGCTTCCCTTTTCAACTCTCGGTATCTATCCCATCCCATGTTTTGGTCGTTGTAACGTTGCGAGGTAGGCAGCCTGTTTTCTCTCCGCTGCGATACGGCACTCCTCGTCGTACCAGCTGTTCTTTTGTACTTTTCGAAAACCAGTGGTTTCGGTGGCGGCTGTACGTAAAGAGTTTGAAATATTCCCTTATACCGAGTTATTGACGAGTGCTCTTAGAGAGCCGGAGTGCAAGCCGAGTAGAAAATCGTTCGGCTGTTTGTTGTGATTGCAGCTTCTCGACGTCGACCCTTCTTTGTGTTTGTTGACGTGCGCTTTTTGCTGCACAGAGGCGMATCTTGGATGCAGCAAGATAATGGTCTGAGTCGATGTTAGGACCTCGGAGCGTACGCACGTCTAAAACGGTGGAGAAGTGCCTTCCGTTTATCACAAAATGATCGATGTGGTTGGTGGTTATTCGATCCGGAGGCAGTCAGGTAGCTTGATGAATCTTCTTATGCTGGAATCTAGTACTACAGATAACCATATTTCGGGCCCCGGCGAAGTCGATCAGCCTCAACTCATTTGGGGATGTTTCCTCGTGGAGGCTGAATTTACCGACCGTAGTGCCAAAGATACCTTCTTTGCCCACCCTGGCGTTAAAGTCGCCAAGCACGGTTTTCACATCGTGGAGGGGGTAGCTCTCATAAGTGCTCTCCAAGCACTCATAAAAGGCATCTTTGGTCACATCGTCCTTCTCTTCCGTCGGGGCATGGGCGCAAATCAGCGATATGTTGAAGAACCTCGCTTTGATGCGGATTGCGGCTAGACGTTCATTCACCGGCGTGAGTGATAGTACTCGGCGACGGAGTCTCTCTCCCACCACGAATCCCACACCAAGCTTGCGCTCCTTTATATGGCCACTGTAGTAAATGCCACAAGGACCTAACTCGTCTCTGTCCTTGTCCCGTCCATCGCATTTCTTGGACGGCGGTGATGTCAGCCTTTATTTTTACGAGGACATCAACCAGCTGGGCAGCGGCACCTTCCCAATTCGGACATTCCAGGTGCATGCCTTCAATTCGTAGCCCTGTTTCATTTGCCATGGTCGTCATCAAAAGGGGGTCACTCATCCAAGGCTTGTTGTTCTTTTTCATTGGGGGTGCTTTTTTTTACGTGGTTTTACATGGTTGCTTAGCATGTTCGATTTTTTGTATAGGAGAGCTTTGTACTGAATGTTGGAAATTATCAAAATTAGAATTAATCAGCAACAACGTTCTGATGTCCAGGTTTGTAACTGAGTTTAGCGCCGTATTCTTCGGTGCAATTTTTCCATCTTTTTAATTATGTATGGGTTTTTTTCTGATATGGCGAAATTTAAAGATTGATGGTCGGTGAATATAGTAAAACCTGCTATGCTATATAACTAATTTCGAAGTTTCTGTAAGGCCCACACAATTGCGAGTAACTCTTTCCCATTTGTAGAGTAATTCTGTTCGGTTTGGCTGAGTGTTCGTAAAATAAACATTGGGATTTTTATTTTGTGATATTACAGCTCCTATGGTAAAATTGCTGGCGTCTGTGGTTAATTCAAAGGGTTTGCTGAAATTTGGTTGGAAAAGTTCAACCTGACCTTGAAGTTCTTCTTTTATTCTACTTAATGCTGCTATTGCAGGTTCAGCTAATATGATTCTAATTTTTGTGCTTTAATTATTTGAAATGCCACCGTTGTCTCCTCTGAGAAACGTGGTAAGTGGTTTGGCAATTTCTGCAAAATTTCTTATGAACTTTCGATAATAACTTGTGAGACCTAGAAAAGATCTGAGCTCCTTCAGTGATGTAGGAATCGTTTATAGCTTGTATTTTTACTGAATCGACAGTGATTTTATTGTATTTAATTATGTGCCCCAAAATATTCTACAGTTTTGAAAGAAGTGTGACTTTTCACTAGAAATCTTTATGTTAGCTTGATGAAGTGCATTTATAATTATACTTATGTGCTTGATATGATCTTCGGGAGAAGAAGAGTAAATGAGAATATCGTCTATATAGACGTACGCTAATTTCATACTTCTATGTAGTACACTGATGGCTCGAAAACGTCGAAAGGCATTGATTTAGGCGTCACAGAATCGTGTACCAAACTTCCCACGCTTATGCGGTGGGTTTGAAATAAATTTTATGTAGTAATACTCTGTAAGCAGTAAGTAAAAGTCAAATTATCTTATTTTGTAAGCGAAAATAAAAAATCAAAAGATTACTTTTTGAAGGAAAAATAAAAATTTCGCCAATTACCTTGATCAGTAACGCCATTTATGTTGTAGCAGCAGAAAACTTTCCTGAAGTAATTTCGACGATTGGTGCCGAGTTGACAGTCCTTGTCCGGATAAAAAACGGGATCTTATCACATTGCTTAGACTGTCGTGGGAACGGATGCCATTTACATTTTTCTTTACGCGAGGCAATATATACATATACAGACTAGAGTATTAGAAAGTAATTATGTACTATACAAATCGTGARTACAATAACTGTCGCATGGTCGAGGAGTAACGACCATTGGTACTCTGAGAACCCAAATAATGTTGAGCCCTGGGGTTGAATCGTTCCATCCGTAAACGTATCACTTGTCACGTAAAAGTCTTTATTTCGTGTTATGACACATGTGATCGTAAAGCTTCTATCGTAATCTGGCATGATGACATACGTCAACGAGTATATAAACATATCCGTTCATTCGAAATGTCAATCGTAATAGACAAATTTATGAAAATGTGAGTAAATTTTTTAAAATTTTATTTGTTTTTTTATAATTTCGAGTAATAAAGAACAAAAACAAGAAGCCAATGAATGGAATACAGCATTAAAAATAATATAAAAAAAATTAATTTATATGAACAAAATTTGTGTATTTTTTTAAATTTATTAAAGAATATTTCATTTGGTCTCCTATAGCTACCCCAGTGTCTATTTCTTTAGTGTGATCGGAATTGCAATTTTGAGGGTCATAACTTATTTCAGAATTTTATGCATATGTTACGGAATGCCGCACAAGCATTAGCAAATCTTCCACATTTGTGGGATGATAGCTTCTTCTCTTGCTATATCTCAAAATTCTCCAACGTCGTTTTAAGATTCCAATGCTTTGTTCAACGATACATCTACAAAGAAAATTTTGTTAATGAGGTTTCATAACTAACCTAACTAAGATCTCTTAGCTTTCTCCGCACTATTTTTTTATCCCCATCAATTTCACTAGAGCTCAAATAAAAAAAATAAAGTCGCATCCATTTTGATATTTAATTAGCTTTTGTTAGTTTATTGAAAATTTTACAACAGGTTTGACAGTTCCACATCTATTTTGACGTAAAAATGCGATCCAAAGCAATGAGGAATTTAAAAACTATTTTGAATTGATAATACATTATGAGCCGTTTTCTTTCGTATGTCATAGTGCCTATCCCCGCATACGATTGACGTATCATGTAATTTTCTTTCGTATGTTTGCCGATCCGGGCACGAATGTAACGATTCGACCCTTGCACAACTCTATAGTTCAAAACGACTCTTACTCGTAGGGTTTAAACTTTTGCAATGTAGATATATAGCCATCTATATAAATTTGAGGATGGGCTGAGATTTATTAAACGTGAATTTTCCTCGCAACATGTGTTTCTTATTACATTATTAAAGAAATTATTTATAATATAATTTATTTACATCACATTAATGTTTATTACTATATTTACATTATTTTACATAATTAGTTTTGATGTAGCCGATTGTTCACTCACAGAATTTACACATCCAAATTCTCTCATATGCAACTCAGGAACGTAACTTTTATTTTCTGTTATAAACCATCGCTTTTTATTCAATAAGAATAGCAACATCAATAATGGTAGATGGATAAGGGAAAAACGAAATAACATCCTCGAAGTATTACTATCCGATTTTTTATAAAATTTGTACGCTGAAAGTAATTATATAATTAATTATTAAATGATACATATAATATATAAATACATATATATTATGGTGACAACTAGCGAAAATACCGCAAGACTTTTTTGGCAAGCTATTATATACATACATATATATATTTTAAACTAATAGGATCGACAAAATTTCATTATATCAGTGTTTAGAATATTGTTTGATTAATTCCTATAATCAGCAAACTAATAGAGAAGGTTTTCCATTTATATTCACTGTATGTTTTTTATAATCGAAAAAATGCATAATTTAAATTGTTAAAATTATGAACCTTAATTGTATACAAAATAATTCATTAGTCACTGATACCTATAAATACATCCTGTACAGAGAGTATCGGGAATTCTTCATTTAAATCTCCAGCTTATATGGAAGACAGGTCGACTGACAAAAACAGCTGCAGTAAACACACTGGTTGACAGATCGCGCTAATTTTTGGCATGATACTTAAGGACAGTTGTGGGAAATGAAAAATTCCCGATACTTTCTCAGGGTTATACAGGATCAGCCGGAATATATTCGTGAACTGGAAGAGGACGTATCTAGTTCAATAATCAAACTTTTCTATTACACTATTGAAAAATGTACCCTTATTTGACTTTGTCTATTTTATTCATGGTATGCAATCTGGTAAATCCTGGAGCCGCACTGTACGCCATGATCGTGAAACCGATCGTTACATATGGAGCGGTGGAATGCGTCTCGAAAACATTGCAGAAGTAGGATTCAAATCGTTTGGTAATTAGGGGTATATTCTGGTTTACCTTCCGAATTCTGATTCCATCAAAGGTGGATTTAGCATAGGAAAGTTTTAAACTAATAGTACGTACTAAGGAAGCGAGAAAGTTCTGGGAGATACACATTCACTTTTGCCCCAATTCCTTTGCCCGATGACATTATCGAACAATCGGCTGCGTATGAAGTTATGGAGACTTCTTCTGATGGTTGAAGGAATTTCGAAATATAATGATTAAATAGTAGCTCGAAGACTGCGAAACACGCTCTTTAATTCTCCTTAACTTTGATTGTTCACCTCGAAAAACTACCGATGATTGTCAACCGCCCAGAAAAGTATGTCACACGCTCAGATAGTTCACGATCCACCGCTTAAATCATGAGGGAAGAGTGATTTCTTCGATGTTTTTAAGTTGTTGTTGTTGTTGTAACGGCAGAATTCTGCCGAGTTGACAGTCCTTGGCCGGATAAAAATCCGGGTCCGTTCCGGTTTTCGTAGACCCGACTGTCGTTTTTAAGTAGCGTTGTATGGTTGACTGTGTCAAAGGCCTTCGACAAGTCCAACGCTACCAGGACAGTTATCTTACAGAGCGGTTTTTGGTTGAGACCACGAGCTATCTGAGCGTTTATGACGCATAGTGCTGTGCACATTGCGGAATCCGTACTAGTGTTTAGCTAGGCTCAGGTGGTGTATGAAGGTCGGGAGTACCAAGTACCTAAAGTATTTTCTATACTGAGGAAAGGACACTTATCGATAAGAGAAGCAGGCTTCCCAGATTTCACTAGTTGTACCACACTTGATTTTCCACACATCGGGTATGTGAAAGGTGGTCAGTGAAAAATTGAGGACTTTGGTAAGTAGCTTAATCCCGCCGAGCCAAGGTGTTCTAACATCCGATTGGAAAGTGATTCGACAATATTCCAAAACTTGCTTATTCACGCAGAGATTGCATTATTTCAGGTTGATTTAATAGTTGTCTAATCTCCGAGTTAAAATCCCTGTGCCACCAGACCCAGCATAAAATCCGGGCCAATCTCGGTATCGCAGAACCGGCTGTTTGAAAATCGGTCGCATTATGGTCGTGCCCGACGGTTGTCGCAGAGGTCATAATGGAACTCACACCGCTCTATCGAATAATCAATCAAACACCTAGACATATTACTCTTCAAATGATAGCAGAAAAGTATGTCACACGGAAAGTAATTTCGCTCCAGAAAATGAAGACCTTATTCACACAAGGTAATACGGCTCTCTTTTTTCGAGGCATTACCTTAAAGGTAAATTTCACAAGGACGTTACCCTCGGCTGTAAGATTTAACGGAGCACCTCAACGCATGGGCATTGGTGTAGGCGTCGCAGGACCGCCTACCAAACCTTTCATATCTATGGGACGTTTTCCGAGTATTTTCCATTATAATCAGCCATATTTTGGGGAAAGATAGGAAATTGCTATCATGCAATTCCAACAATTCCGTAAGTTCGTAATTCATGGAGTGGCATTCACTGAATTCGGAACGTAAAAATTGGAATTTTACCGGATTTTTTTTACAAGATTTTTCTAGATTTGAAATAAATTTAAAAAAAGAAGGAAAATGTGAGTATTTATTGAATTCTAACTATAACATATTTGTTACCAGTTAAATAATTTTTAATACGATTTCTGCAGGTTTAGGGTAATTAGCAGCAATATGGACTAATGATTGAGCTGTTACAGCATAAATCAGAAATTGCGCAGGGTTTTACCAAGTACCCTAACAGGATAATGTAAAGCTTGTTTGACTTATTTGTTATTAGGTGTGACATGACTGGAAGCCTTACATAAAAAAAGATTGTTGGAGAATAAAAAGGAGCAATCACCTACTTGTGGCTGCAAAAATAAGCAGCACCACTTCACCGAATTGGAGGAAGCGGTGTTATTACCGGCATTAGAGACGAGTATAAGTGAAATTGAATACACAGTGAGCATGAGCTTACCTATGGCAGCCGACGTTGGCAATGAGACAGAGGCCGACGTATCAATGACCGGCAATCCAGCACTGCCGAATCACTTCAAAAAGAACTTCAGAAAAAGGTTCTCAATAAGTAGGATTAGGTACATCATTTGAAAAGCAAAACAACTTGAAAACAGCGGAAGTAGAAGAAATTGGAAGAGACAACATAGCAATGGAGAATTTGATAGCTGCTACGAATTCAATAAAACAGCAAATGTTGGAAGGGGAAGAAAAAAAATACAAGCCGTATCAAAAAATAATTAATTAAATAAATAAAATTCAGAACAAAATATTTTTACAGAAAACGTTCAGGGGTGTTGTGGAATCTGATAGTTGTCGGAATCAGAATTGAAACAAATCAAAAAAAGTAGCAGGTGTCATGAACTCTGATATTATTGGTATAAAGTATAAAACACGAAATGTCTTCATTATTGATTTATTCATTTGACAAATGTTATCTCTTAAAATCCTCTTTTAATTCGGAACTTATTAAAAACTTTAATAGGATTGCTTCCAAATGTATTCACTTGCAAGTTTTGTCACGTAGTAAACAGCTGATTCGAATATTGGTTTTGCATATGTTCGAAAAGACGAAAATCCAATCAGATTCCGTCTTGGATTACACAACACCCCTGAATGAAATTTGTTCATCAACTTATAATGAAGCCTTCACAAATCTGAGAATCTATAATGTGTCTGTAAATGTTGCACATATAGCTTATCTGATCTTTTTTTCATTTAATTATTTTCTGTAAAAATATAGTGAATACAAACGTTGTGTCACGTTGCCGCAACATTAACGATTTGAGATGACTTCCATGACTCGTAGTGAAGCTCACGAGCACCCAGAAGACATCTTTATCGATTTTTAAAAACACCTATTGTTCTTTCTACAATATTTCTCGCTTTTGCATATATTTTATTATATTTTTCTTCTGTCCTTCCTGAGAGAGGTGTACGGAATGGTGTCATTAACCATGTTTTTAACACATATCCAGCATTCCCTGTATAAATATATACATACATGTTTGAAAATTTGTAAAGAGTTTTGGGAATTTATGTAATTTATTTTATGTATATATAATACCCAAAAGCCAAGTGTTTCGTTCACCATCAAGGAACTTTTTCTCATAAAAATAATTAGCATTGTTGACATTCCATATGGAGGAATCGGATTGCTGCCAGGATACTGAGCACTCACATAAAATATTTTCATATTATTGTCACATATTTGCAATACATTGATTAAGATGTTTGAAATGTGAATTTGTCACCTAACTCACAATCATGGCATTGATACTAAAGTATTATTTGCGGTTATGATAGAAAAATGTATCTTTAGTTGCAGCAACGATTTTAATATGTGTCCTGTCTATACACAAAATCGCGTCTGAAAATCCGTATTTCTGAAAGAAATTCGTTTTCGCTTCTCGTTTTTCATCATTTCTTAACTCAAGGGTGAGCCACTGAGGGCACAAATGGGACTGAATCTTTTAAGATGCAACCAAATGTTGACTGAGCCATTAAAATATCGAAGTATTTACCCGCTCCTCCCCTCCCCTACCTCACCTAAAAAACGTAAAACCGACGACAATCGATGAAGTAAAGATATAGATGACGATGTGAAAGAACTTCCATTCCTCTCTAGAAGGTCGAGGACATACGTAAAGACAGCCTTATTATAGCGATAGTTTCTAATAAACCTGTTTTAGAAAAATAATGTTAATAAAATTTAATTATGAATTTTTGTGGATTCTTATGCTCTTATGCTTCAGTGATTTGCGGTGAATTTTCTCTAAAAGCAAAAGATTATTTTTTTGAAAAAAATCATATTTTAAAAGTTGTGACATATTTGCGTAGTCCTCAAAAAAAAAAATATATATATATATTAATATATCACTATAATTATCAAAAATGCCTTAAGTTTAGTTATCTGCAACGATTATTATTGAAGACGAACTGAAAGCAGAAGAAACCATATCTTGCGGTTAGTGTACATTTATTAAATGGTCCCTGCCAGTTCCTCTATCTTTAGAAATGTAACGGTTTTCATAATGAAAGCCTTCCAATCAGTGCAAGCCTGATAAATATTAGCTTAAGACAACATCTTTATAATAGGAAAATTCTTGTTTTTTTAATCTTTTTTGTTGTTTTTATAGGTTTATATAATCTATAAAGTGTCATAACTAAGCACAAAATTAAAATATAGAACTGTGATTTCGCACAGGCGACCACATTACCAAAGAGAAG